TATATATACATCTTCCTAAGCTCATAGAGCGTTTACTGGTCGGAATGTTCTAGGTAAAGGCCTGCTTAACTTCCAACAGCGTTGAGATGGATTGTCGGTAAGGTAGAAGTTCCAGAACTATCGTTACATAAGTGCCTCCGTTACTAAGGAACGATAGCATTTATGAAGATTATTTTCTAAAGAGAGACGAGTTGTGTAAACTCACAGTGATTTCAATAAATAACCTTAAACACCGCAGACGATTATGTTGACATCTTGTTGATAACAAGTGCAAGCCAAGGGCACTGAAAGCGGCCAACGGCTGTCCTTGGTTCTATGTCCCAATCCGTTGTAAAAACAAGATAATTCTAATCACCTCCATTAGGTGTGTATTAAAAACAATAGAGAAAAAAAAACATGACGGAAACAAGTCATTCGTTTTCTCGATACCAATGATCTCTTTCGAGTGGACAGACTGGTTATCTCGTAAAAAAGGTAGGTCTCTTGGTAACTAAGTAGGTACCCTGAAAGAAAAATTGAGAAACAAATAACTACATTAAGCATAAATCCATTTTGCTTAGTTGAGCGGATAATGTTAATCGAAAGCTAATCAACAGCAGATGAATTTAGGCCACCTCTAGAAAAAAAAATAGGATAAACGACCTGTGAAAATTTAATAAGTTTGTCACAGTTTTTGCCAGTCAAGTCAAAGAGCAGAGGCGCAACCGATCGGTCACAAAACACAGATGAAGCAATGGCCCGTCCCCGTGTCTATGGCTAGTAGTGCTTTAGACTGCAGTGGCTTATGCTGCCACACAATAGCAGCAAAACTTAGATAAAAAAAATCTTTGTTTGAAGGATACACAGGTTTTCTCCGGTACCTACCTAATCCATGTCTGTGTAATACAGAATAGCTGGCTTAAAGTTTATGAGCATCAAGAAACGTCACTTTTTGTAGCCTTGGTGGTATTTGTTGGTAGCTATGGTGTCTTTCTCCAAGTGTAGACTAACACCTTTTGATGTCGTATTTTACTTTTGAATGTTCTAATTAAGTTCGAACTTTTCAAGAATACGCAACCTAAAACGGAGACGGGTTCTCGGGCGGGATCCCATGTTCGATTATGCGTATTATAGGTAACCTAGCCATCTGTAAGAACAGGTTTTCTCGTGCCTTGTAGGTTCTAAGCCTCGTAGAGGACACCTTTTTCGAAGTTCATGACAACGATTTTGCATGTGCTCATCGAATTTGTAGTCACCAGGGCATGCGAAATCAAAAAAGTACTCCTATAGAAAGGATAAAGCACCTTGTCTATTTAGGGGGTAAAGTTGGATTGCAAGTGAAGTAGCAATTTTGTATCGCATATTCTTATAATAAATGCCCAGTTCAGTTTGTAAAACATGGGATTTAAACTTTATTCTACCCGAAGGATTACTCAGCATCTGTTTCGGATTTGCATGGTCTAAAGAACTATAAAAAAACAAACAATTCATGGGGCTCTTGTTATTAGGAAAGGAATGGATTGCACACCACCATCCACGCGATGCTACCTATTATACGTGTAAACGTGTCAAGTGGTCCACTTTCCAAACTGAAGGCAGATATGTTTTGTTCTATATGGAGGGTAGCCATTTGAAAAAATGCGTGAAGGCAATGAAATTCAAAGAACTTACCTTATTCCAGGAGAATATGTTAACTTATCCAGATAAAATCGGATAAGTAATTAACCGCTTCTATTTACTTGAATCGGATCCTTGTCATATATAATCTATCGCTTTTAGCGGGTCCTCAATTTTAAAAAAAAAGCGCTCAAAATTCGAACTTATTTCATAGATAGCCGGAAAATTTGCTTCTTCTACTAATCACATATACTTCACTCTGGAGTAACAAAATCCGGAATTCAACTTTTCGTTCTACTTTATAGCAGCTTACTAAGTCGTTAACATCTATCATACATTGCAGGCCCACGCGAACAGAAGGTATCATTTGATTGATCCATTTGTGTCAATTGAAGACCACGAGTGTTAGTGGATAATAATAGTTATATAGAGAGAAAGCAGAGAAGTTCTATAATAACTTCTCTGGTTATAATATAATTATATATAGTATATACATTATACTTCATCGAGTAAACGAGCGTTTTCTGCATTCGATTGTGGATTTAGTAACTGACACTAGCAATCGTCAACTTAAAATCGATCAACTTAGCAAAGGAAACGCATAAAGTTGAGCGTTACGTTTTGTGTCGATCTGTGAGTGTGACTGCCTATTAACATTTTGCCAGAACTTAACCTAATGTATATGTCAGAGTTAACGCCCTTTACTCACCTTGTAAAATTCAGTAATATAGTACATGCTGGATTTTTAACTTGTGCACAAGGTCACACTAAGATTATAAATATAAAATAAAAAAGTAGCTAAACTAACCGCCAGGGTCTCAAGTAAAGCAATGCTCGTGTTAGCATCATTCGATCCAGCTCAAGGTAATCAGAACACTGATTATTTACAACATACAAGCCAAATCTCACCTCTATTGAGCTGGACGTACGTTTTTTTACCAACCAACCATCAAGATATATATATGCACCTATATAAGGCAACATTCACCTATATTTCGAGCGAGCAGAGCGTCGGCAAGTGAGTTTGCATTAAGTTTCGCCCATAAAATATTACAATACTAAGTCTGCATAAATTGTGAGCAAATAAGCAAAACACGACGGAAGTGGCCGAAGCGCACAGCAACGAGAGGTAAGATCGATCAGATAATGGCTAAAGGGCGACTTTCAGCCTGGCACGTTTCGGTCGATGAGCGAAACCAACGAGCAAGGTTATTGCCGAACTTCTGTTCTTCATAGTACGGTTTTACGGCCAGTGAAAAGTAGTCCCGATGTAAGTAACGAAGGTGAACAATTCGAAAAACATACACAAAGTATAATAAATAACCAGGAAGAAACAGTTGACCGAAAATCGCTTCGAGGCAGCGAAGCATCACGAGACGATAATCGTTGGCATCGAACTCATACCCTGTCTTCCATTGTTAGGTAACATCTTGAGTAGCTGATGTGGAATTGCGGCGCTGTGCTTTCAGAAGATTGCTGCAGAAGAGGTGAAAAGAAGGAAAGGGTAAAGAGCGTGTTCTTCTTCGACGCAAACCTGCGTCATCGCCATTCTTCCTTAACGTTTTCCTTTCGATGCTTTGCGCATTGACCGCGTATTGTCTCGTGTGCGAAACGAGGCTCCCTGGCTTCCTCACGCTACGCTCGATCTCTCTTGCAGTTTTTAGCCATTCTGGTCCCATTCGATTCTACCCTTTCTCCACGTCTACCCTTCACCCAGTGCCCATGAAAAAGTGGCATGCGTCATTCCCTTGCCCACGCTCTCCACACGGCAGACCACCGCCGACTATGGAGTCTGATTATCCTTCTGCCCAGCTGCTGCTGTTGCTGGTCGAGAGCAAGTGAAGCCAGCCGAACAATGCGATCTGACAATGCTGTCTGTTTCGTGTTTCTTGTTCGTCGTCCAATCTAACGCCGCCTGCTTTCGTTCTGGCCTGTTACCGCTGTCGTAAGCGTTGCAGGGGCCTGGTTGTCGACATTGCTGCCACCGGCGGTGACCCTCTTTCTCGCGGAGCAGAGCCTCCAAGCTCAGATGACGGCCGCAGCGGCGAGGCGAGGCGAGGCACGTTGTCGATGAGTAGTGGCCGCAATCGGAAGCGCTCGTTAGGTCCACGGTAGTTGGTAGACTGGTTGACAACTGACTGATTGTTCAGCTCCAATCGTGCCATACAACAATGGTTTTGGGACGGACCGAGGGGTGAGCGTACGGACTCAGAGCACTAGCCTGGGTTGGGCAGAGCTGGGCTGACGATAGTGGTGGCTAGCCAGCAACGACTGCTGGAGACATCGAAAGCGCGCGGCAGCAGCGGCAAAGGTGAACACAGTCGTTCAGGTAACGCCGCTGGTTGCGGTCGTGATGGCGCAGTGGCGCTGCTGGTTTCCCTCCCCGTCACAACAACAACAGCAGCCGCCGCCGCCGCCGCCGCCGCCGCACACGCAGGGACTGCTACGACCGCTACTGGCACAGCTGCGAACGCCAACGTCGACGTTAACGTTTGCCGAGCGTCACATTCATCTCTGCCTTCGGCGTTGCGTACGGCGATAGTAACAGCAGCAGTGCCACTAGTGGTGATGCTGGTTCCATCTGGCGGCCGTATTGAGTGCCGCAGCAGCGGCGGCGGCGGCGCCAGCGGCAGCAGGAGTCTTCACACGAGCAGTGCAGGTTGTTGTTTGTTCGTTCGGTCGCCGCACTCTTGTTTTAGTAGAAACAGTGTTACAGGCAGGGCGGTTCCTTGCGCTGGGCACCGAAACTGGTCCTCTGTTCGTTTTTTGTTGCAGCGTACTTGATCCAGCTGTAAGAGTCATTGACTCTCATACGTATAACGACAGTGTGATTCAAGTCAACTCTGAAGAGGCCCTAATGGAACAGCGAATTCCGCTGTCAATGTGTGTTTTGATGTTTAGCAGTGAAGCGCGCCGAAAAGCTTAACTGAGATCCGGTACAATTTGACAGCAACGGGAAAAGTCGAAATAGAAAGCCCGATACAGAGAGAGAGGTATCGTTACATCAAAAGCCGGTATGATATTTCCATGTACGGTGTTAGTGGTTCTAGTTTTGCAAAGTGTCTAGGAGATTTCGACAAACAAGTTAGAATGCTGCAGAAACCACTGCACTATGGACAATACAGTTATCCCCGTAGTGGATGGTGGATGAGGTTGTGATCTTTCTGTCTACAGAGTGGCAATGATTTGACTCGTACCAAGGATCATTTCCACTTGTTAAAAATAGTCAAATCTTACTGACACTTTTTATAAGAGCCTAATTTACCATACGACGAGTTGACATTTGATCTTAGAAACTCTCAGGAGTGGGTTAGGGCAAAGACGAGGACACGAGCTTTCGACTTATATATCAGGCAAAAAAAAATCGTCAGAAGATGCTACGGCGACGGATTTTTTTCGTACTTTTTGGCTATGCATTGAGCGCTGTGGCCTTGATATGTGTGCTCTATGGTGCTATAACAATTCCTAACCCGCCAGTTGAAAGTACGCGCGTCGATCTCCAGGGACGGGTCGATTCATTGCAGGTAATTTTTTTATCCCGTTTTAATGTTTAGCAGGCAAAACTTTTTTTTGCATGATCGAAACGCTAGACACGGTTCTTCATATGCATGATAGGTAGTTCTTACGACGTTAGCCTATACGCAAAACGGTACGAATTACGCTTAAAGGAAGGCATGCTTATTTACTTTTTTACATAAGAACTACGAATCCATCAATTACACGTATTATAATTACAATAATAGACGTGGCGTCAAGTGTGAAACAAGCAAATATTCTCCTTAAAACACCTATATTAACCTTAAAAAATCTAAAATTAAAAACTCTATATTTTGGCACAATTCATTCTACTTTACCTTTAACTTCCTGTAACCAGCGTAGACGCGTCAGACCAATAATAAACATATATTTAGAACTGAAGCAAGTTTGACAGCTTCACTCAGTCTGAGCGAGCTAAATGCAGACGAGATTTTACGGATCGATGCAAAACAAAAATAAGCGCTAATTCTCTAGTAATATCTGACGACAGGCGACAAGTTTCTTTTAAGAGAAAAAAAAGGCGCTCCAAGGGTGAAGTAAAACGTGACGCACCGATACGATGAGTGCGAATGGCTGGCTGCTGTCACGCCACCTTTATCCGTCCCTGTTTTGTCTACCAGCTGGATAGAAGCAGAAGTAGGAAAAAAAAAAAATAAAAAAAGAAAAAAGAAATAACCGCAAATTAACAAAAGAAACAGAATTCACAAATACTATATTCAACAAAGTTTTCGCGGCAGGAAGGGTCGTCGTCGTCGTCGTCGTTGTCATTACAACAGTACGACAAACAGTAGCAAACAGACACAACTGCAGGACAAACTGCCCTGTTTTTCTTGATTGTTCGGTTCTTATCGAGCCTCATTATTTGTATCAAATTGTCGAACAAAAACAAGAAATAGCAACACTATCCAAACGTTCATGTCGAAGTTTAAACATTGATATGCGACAGTATTAGAGTTACGTTCTATTGTGAATGCTGGCATTGATGTGAGAGCAGGCGACGACGGAATCGTCCCATCTCGCCGTGCTCTTTTCAATACTTAAGGAGCGCAACGGAATGGAGTAAAGCAAAAACTGGTCGTCGCTTGCCAAATACAAGTTGAATGATTTACTATAGAACATGCAAAACGAACGCCAACCGCTACAAGGGCTAACGGCCCGGACATAGAGACAAGATCAGCGCCACGTACTTGATCAGCTCGCACCGTTGCTTTGTCCACCTGCTGTAGTTAGCTACTTAAGTTATTTAACTTACTATCGTTTAGATTCGCATACTTTACGGAAAGCGCAACCCCGTTTGCTGGAAAAGGGAACAGATCGTTTGCATAGAAACATACGATGATGATAAGCCATACAATTGGCTATCGCAAATAATTTACTTAGTACCAACATCTGATCGCCAAGTATAGACACTGATAAATAACGTGTAGCATTTATGTTACGATCTTGTTGCCATAGTGATTTTTTGCCAGTGAGCGTATTGTTACGTGGGTATGTTAAACCTTCTTATATCCTGCCCAATAAGCTTTTTTAAGCGCGTTGCCGAGGTAACTATGAACATGCTGATCTAAGTTTCAAACGGTTCCTACAACATACGGATACCATGCAGCTAGGCCAAAAATCTGGGTAAAAATCCTGCAAGGCCTACCTGAATGAATGAAATGAAACTCTGAAAAGCTTCTGCCAGCAGCATCACTAAGCCAATTTTGGCGGACTGGCCAAAGATAATTGGAACAAGCAAATACTTCGATGTTTACGGCGGCAATGAAAATGCCACAGAGGAGAGACAGGTTGGCTTAAGAGCGGAAAAATATAAGAATAATTTTATTTCTGTATGTATACTTGCTAAAAGTGTCTGCATATGTCTATACGTTTACAAATAATAACAAAAAATTTAACCCATTAAATCGTTTGCCCGTATCAGCTGGGAACGACAAACGCTGTCGGTGATAAAATATCACTACATTCGTTAGAAACGGTCAGAAAGGCGTTGTGACTAATTAGTCATCGTATTTTAGTCGTCTGCTGGATATTCACTGCTCTTGTAGCGATTTCCAAGTTTTGACAACTTTATTAGGACAAGGCCGAGTGACACTCAACGCCGCCACGCGACGTGAGAGAACTAGCGGGAGAGAACGAGAAAAGGACCACATTGTGGCAAAAAATAACCAGCTCATATTGACCTCGTTTGTGCAAATGGTTAGGCCTGGTGGTTATACTTTGCTGATAGGCACTTCATAAACATTGACACGTTTGATTAAATTTGGCTTAGGTTCTTGATTATTTGTATTTTATCAGAGATAAAATTGACTCGATTTACAATAGTAGACCTTTGTATAGAGCTTCAAACTGAGTATGTGTCTGTTCATAGCTATTTGGTGCCGATAAACAAGCATTGACATAACGAGATAATGCCCATTTGCAGCTATTCGAAGCTTATAGACCGCTCATTTTACTGCGTAAGATATAATCAGATTAAACAGTCGTCGAGGTCCAAATTTATGGTCACATAATAACAATAGTGATAACACCAAAAGCCATGAAAACATGCATTGTACGCGTTCCATTCACTATATATATATATATATATATATATATAGTATAGCTAAAAATCGTTTTAGCCAAGCCTAAGGTATGCTTAGACTTCTGATAGACATCTCATCAGGCAGACAGTAGGCCGACGACCATAAAAAAGGCTAAAAAAAGATCTGATAGAAACTTTGTAATAGGCAAGGTACTTTCAGTCCACAGTGGAACATTCGACGCGTAGCCGCATTTACATGTAAAACATTCTATGTGTTTACGAACTCGGACTATACATCATCATCCTCCTTCTGCACACGTTGATAAAGTTAAAAGTCAAAAAAAAAGTATGCCCACACTTACGAGGCTTCTACCTGTACCACTTCTAAGTGATCTATGATTTGCAAATGTTTAGTTTTTTTTTTACCCAAGTTCCTTGGAGCAGCCAGAGATCGGCATGTAAATATGGGCCAGCTACCGGCTCCATATAAATATATAGTTCAAAAGTAGACCATCTGACATATTTAAATTCGCATTCAACTCCCACAGTTCAAGTTCTATAAATTTACAGCCAGGTCGGATATTTAGAGATAATACTATTACGTTTGGTGTTTGCATTATTTTTTAATAATCATAATATATATTAATAATAATAATAATGAAGGAACATATTGAACAAGCCTTAGCCTAGGCGTTTTATAGTAGTAATTTGCAAAGCCTATCACCGACCTGGGTACTAATTACCTGATAAGCTCGTGAGTTAAGGCATGGGCCTATGGACACATGAACCAGACACAGCAGTCACTGGGGTGAGGCTGCGGTTCATTTGTTTCCGATTATAGAAAAGTGATTCAAATGAGTCTGATGCCATAGCGTTGTGAAGATTCTATAATTTGGTCATCATTATTAAATATACTACAGTGTTATTATTGTGATTAAGTAATCGCTAAATTAGTTGACCTATTTATTTACGGTACATGGACGAAACTAGAAACAAGGTTTAAAATGAATTATTCTGTAACGAATATGCTCGAACGTATGATCACTCGTCACGGCTTTAGATGACCTGACGATTAGGCCTATTTTTTAGTTTAGTTGATTGAATAATTTGTGTATTAAAGAAAACGGCCAATCTCTATCGATCCGACAAAGACCTCGACCAGGTCTATCACGGTTCGTACTATAGCGTATTGCGATTTAGCCTAAAAACGTATTTTCGACCCGTCAAATAGCGTCAGCAGGTTCCCATTACTACCGGCAGAGCAAAACCAAATACATACTGCTACGTAGCGAAAGATTGGCTTAAGGATATCCCGATAATGGCGTCCAGATAGCAATACAAAGGCAGATAACAATAAATGGACTATAAACAGTTAAACAGGATTGTATTGTAGATGCACACTGTGTTTGCAGGTTGCAGACACTTACTACTACTTGGTCCGCAGCAAATTTTGCCTCCAGTGAAGTACCAATGGCCGCTGATGACTTTTAAAACGGTGTGTTTTTTTCCCTTCGATCGATAACAGCAGATCCATACTGTTTCGGTAGTTTAGAACGATCGTGATTCTTCGTTGAAGTTGTTGAAGGCAGTGGTACATGAAAAAGTGTATCGAAGCAAACCAGAATGAAGATAATTCATCAAGTGAATGAGCATTTATTAGAGTGATTTGTAAGGAGGTGGGCAGTAAGCGCCACTTTCGTCACGGTATTCGAATGTAACACCATGCGAAAGCCTCGTTACAGCCGCTCTGGCTCACCTACGTAATGGTAGGCCTATCTTCTAGTGACCCTGAACTCGTTCGTGCCTTAACTACAAGATTTCCTTGACAAACTGATAACCGAAATCGTTTTGGATCTGTGTAGCAGTATATATTAGAGTACATGTGTAGTGTATGCGTTTCTCATTTACTAAGTAGCTTATTAATGGCTCTTTTCGTATAACCGTGAAATGTTCGTTTTGTTTATCTTAATAAACGTATTTCTGCGACATTGCTAGATTTACTTTAGAAACACTTTGAGATGTTAAGTTTCTATTTGCTTGTACTCTGATATAGAGTGTCGTCAGAGTAAATTCTGTATCTAAGAATTACTCCGAGTAGTCAATTTCCGAGCGGTCAATTGGTAGATACCGGACTAGTCAGGTATCTTTGCTCAATTAGATTGATCCTAATGTAAAAAAAATTTGCTGATAAAAGCAGTCTGCTAATATTACATGTACAGCACGCCAACAGAATCTTGATAAGCATTTTCACTATGAGGGACATTTGGAAAAATTAGAAGATTTCGGCAAAAAAGCCGGCATTTGTTTTCTTGATTTTGATTGAAGCCCGTCGTGTCGCATCATATCGACTTTGCTCCTGGTACACCTAATGCAATACGATAATTTATAGAGCCTTAACGGCAAGTCCATTTGAAATGGCTATGCCTCAAGGTCAACCTTTGTGCTTTTTTAGCTAAGAAGTACACG